TTGATCGTTACCTTAATATGATTTATAAATATAAAGAAAAAATAAAATTTGGAAGTATATAAAAAAACTAAGTATATATTGACAATTATATTTTTATTTTTATACTTTTAGATGGACGTTTATTGTCACAATTTGTATACAAAGTAAAAGTTAAATGATTTAGTGCTTGAACATGACATCGAATTTGGTTTTATTTGCGAGTAAGAAATGGACTAATACTGCAAAATGATATTAGGAAATAAAAATAATAGTAATAACTAAAAGAGTGAGGGTGTCTCAACCATAAGGGAGACAAAGAGTGATGGACGATATTGACTATATAGATAGAGTAGGACAATGTATATTTATCATTGAATTATTTAATATAATGTTTGGAGTATATGTGGTCTTTTGTAATAGTTTTGGTCCTAAATCATTGAATAATTTGAGCCCAAAATATATAGTTTGTTTATTTTTTTAGTTGATATCATTTGTTTCATTTGGACTTATATTTGAGGTCATCTAAAGTTTACTAAAGTGACGGCCTATAGTTAATCTCTTTATTGATCCACAATTATGCAACTATAAATTCTGATTAATAAAATTAGCATAATGCGTTAACTATTGCTAATTGTTTGTTATTATGACACATGTTTTTCTCTTAAGATAATTACAAGAATATATTATCGCTACTGAATTTTTGCAACAGATAAAGTTTAATACGACTTACTATAATGTATCAACTACTATTTCTTATCATATTTTATAGTTGTTAGTGTTATCAAAATACATTGTACTATTTTATAATTTATATAATATAATTTAAATGTCATTTCTCATCATTTGACGAAATTATATTAATTTACATTCCACATGAGTTATGTGGAAAAAAATAAGTAATTTGTTATTGACATGAGCATTAACGATTATTGTGCATATTTGTAACTTTACATAAGGTGATCGATCTTGCACGTCATTATGAGCACCATCGGACTTATTTTGCAAATAAACGAAGTTAATATTTATTTAGCAAAATATAAAAAGTGAATGATATGTGGACTTAATTTTAAGGTAAATGCATGCGCGGTTCAAAATTGAGTCATTTTTGTATTTTTTTCTTAAGTATTTAATTTATATTTTCAATTTTAATTGACTCATATTTTGTACATGTTTATTTCAACTATTATATATAGTATTAATAATATCTTTAGTTATTAATGAAAAAAATTATGTCATTATCAAAATATTTTAGGCAAAAATTTCAAGGAGTGTTATCAATGTGACAAATACATTGAACATCACAAATATTTCTTTAAGTTGAATTTATTTAATTTGAAACTATTTATTACAAAATATATTGTATTTTATAATCACATTCATTATATGTTATTGTTTTTATAGTCATGGACCTCTATTGTCTGATGATTATTATTTTATGATGATAATGGTAATAATGAATACAGTTCATCCACTAATAATGTTATATTTAGGAAAACAGTGTAAAATCTAATGAATAAAATTTTCATTTGACTTTTTATTATCTCTCTACATATTTTTTTAATATTATTTATTTATTTAAATAATAATTCATTTCACCTCATGTTTCAATATCAGGCCGCGCAACGCGCGGGTGGTGTACTAGTTACAATTTATTCTATAATCTATAGTATATGTATATGTATATAATTTGCGCAAAAATGCAAAGTGTCTGGCGGCATAATGGTACGAGGTGTGCCCAGAGATAACGGACTTGCCCTCTGACCCGGGTTCGAGTCCTGAATCTGGGGTCCTTATACCATTTAAAAAAAACGAATTCTGAGAATCCGTTTTTTAATTAACTAAATCAGAAAACGGATTATCAGAATCCGTTTTATAATTTAAAAAAAAAAAATATATGAAAACTGATTTTTGAAATCCGTTTTTACCTGAAAAACGAATTTTCAAAATCCATTTTAATTAACACGGATATTCAAAAAAACGTGTTTGTTTGACTTAATTAGAGTTAAACACGTCATTAAGAAAAAAGAAATTTTGAAAATCCGTGTTCATAGTAAAAAAGGATTCCCTTTTTTTACTGAGAAACAGATTCTCGAATTTGTTTTATTTTTTTCCACAATATTTTTTTTTGCCACATTTTTTTTTAATTAAATAAATGACTCTAAAAAAATACTTACATATCTCTAGTAGTACCAGTGCTACTATCGTGTGACTTGGCATACCTAGCAAGGTGTGCCAAAGCAGTTTAAAATGAACATGTTACTTTATAAAATGAACATCATTTTACAAAGTAACATGTTCATTTTAAAAAAGCCTTGGCATTTGCGTAGTAGTACTAGTTTCTCTTTCATTTGTCACATTATTATCGTACAGAAACACAAAGCCATTAATTCTGATAAATTCATCAACCCACCCATCTCCATTTCTCCTCAAAACTTTTTCATCCCATGAATATGCATCGATCAGCCAACATACAGAACTCACTCCCCTATGATATTGCCCTCAAAATAGCTTCATCCCTTCAGGTTCTTTATAATTTGTCTAACTAACCCCTTTTCTAATCTCTCTCTTGTTTCTTGAATTTTGGGTTCTTTATGAGTAAACTGGTCTTTTGTTTCAGGTTGTCGATTTGTCTTCTTTGGGAAGCTGTTCAAGGTTTTGGAGAGACTTGTGTGCTTCTGATTGCCTGTGGGAGCCTCTATCCAAACACAGGTGGCCTCAATTTACTTCTCATCACGAAATTGACTCCAATTCAAAGGTCCCCTTTTCTTTTTTTTCATACTTTAATTCCAATTCTTGTTTCTCAAAATTAAACATGTGTTTGAGGATAAAATCTACATTATATCACCTTCAATTTATTTGCTAATCCATTTTTATTCAATGATTTAACGTTCACTGCTCACCCCTTGTTCAATCTTCCACACTCTAGCAAAACGAAGAACAACGTAAATCGACAAGTTATGGGGGAGAAGTGTCGTAAATCTTGTGCCCTTAAAAAAGTTTTCCTCTTGTATTAAATGTTTAAGTGTAGGGGTGGAAGGGTTTGTACATAAGCAAGCACAATGAGATGGCCCGGAAAGCTGCCTCCGTTGCAAGTTTTGTGGAAAGAGCTCTGGCTTACGAGTCAATCGAGGTCGGAGATTATTTGAAAGGGATAGAGCTACTGAATTCGCTACAGTTTGGGTTTAAAGACATTCAAATGTTCTTGCTTAAACCCGAGCTGAACGTGCTTCTGAACTTGGTCGGCTTGCACTATTGCATCATATGGCTTGACGTGCCGGTAAATATGGGGATAATTACATCTTTTGCTGATAAGGAGATTATATTTACAAAAACTATGAAAAAATTGTGATTTATGTGTGTCCTTGAGGAAACATGTACTAACATAGGATTTGTCTCCTTAGTTTCACAATTGTTCTTTGTGCACTTCCATTTTATCAGAAAAGATTACTCTTTTTTCTTTAACACAATAATTTTTTTATAGGCAGAGTATGTGATAGAAGCACTAAATAGCAGGCAGGTCTCGGAAAGGGAAGTGTGTGTCCAGTGGTGGAAGCTTGGCCGGTGGTTTTACGGTTTTCGCTTGCGAGACGAGTTTCATTCAAGAAACGTGTCTTTAGAAGCTATGGCAGTTTCTAATGAGGAAGTGCTTGGGGTGCTCCAACGTGGGGCCGTGCACGAGGTCATTCGTGTTCAGATATCGGCTGCTAAGCCGGCTCACAAATCCTGGTCTTGCCAAGTTGCACAAGTGTGAAGGAATTCAATGTGTCAACTGTGGATGTATATAAGTATGTTAGGTGTTGTGAATTGTGATTGAATTTGTCTTGTGAATGTAATGTTGTAAGGGAAGTGTTTTCCTCATTATGCATGGGTTGTGTAAATAAATGGAACTTGATTTGTCAAGGCATCATATGTAAAAAGCCAGTTGTTTTGTTAGACAGGCCTACCATTTAGTCCACAATATTTTTGTTAAAACTAATAGCTACTAATAATATACTATTTAGTCAACTATATTTTTATTGGAAATAATAGCTACTAAGAGTAGAAAGGGAAGATTCGATGCTACTCACGTGGCATTGCCCACATGAGTTTTTTACCATTGATATATACATAAATATACACACACACATTTACATGGGTATGTGTGAAATCAATGGTAAAAAATCCCATATGAGCAGTACCCACATGAGTAGCATCGAAATTTCTCAGTAGAAAGAGACACTCAACAACACTCCCTTTGGTTGTCTCCCTGTCTGGTTTTTCGATTAGTGGAAGTCGTCGAATCCTTCCTAATTTACACTTGTTGAAAAAACTTCTTTTGTAACTCCTTCCATAAAGATTAAGAAAATACCGGATCCCGACCTACACTTGGCAAAGTATCATTTCTCGCGGAAGCAACCAAGATGACTCGCCATGAGTCCTGAATCATAGTTCAAACATTTCTTAATCTAGTTCATATAGTTTGTGTTACATATATTTTCCATCCCCAAGCCGAACATAGTGAGACTTGACAGTTGCCAGGTTTGAAGATGCTCTTAGCTACAAGCCTACAAGGAGAGGTCAACTACACCGAGCGAAGCGAACTTCAGTCAAGATTCGGTCCGTTAATTTTTATTATTCAGTATTTCATTCAAGAACACTTATAAAATAATATATCTCAAATAAGTTCTTTCGAACTTTGTCTAAAAACTTTATTTCCTCCCACTCTTAAAATTTTTTAATGAACTTACAAAATGAAATGGATTTTATGATTGACCAAGCATTATCACTTTCATAAGATTTCACAAAAAATACATATATATATATATATATATATATATATATATATAGACACACGTAGATTTCATTATCGTGTGGTTACAAAAGTAAAAGATTTTATCATTTTATTTCACAACTCATCTTGTTTAATGGAACCATTAAAGTTATCAAGTTACAACTTGCTTGTGCAATTGTGATTTAAGTGGCGGTCACTTGTGAGCATTTACACACTTCTTTGATCAATGGGCGGACCAGGCCTACGCAACATGCATCTCGAAACAAGGATAAACTGGATTGCCACTTTCTCAACCCACCAACCAAATGCAGGCTACAGACCAGCCCGTCCTATTGACCCATTCTAACAGCTCTACGATTGACACACCCCAGTTAGAGATAATTGAGTACCTCCATATAATATGTTCATAACTTGGCATTCATATTGTGTTTAGTGTATTTAAATTATTCAATTCATGGTCTGAAGATATATAATTTTTACACAAGTTATATAAGCCAGCGGTTGTCTACCTTATGAAGGCATTCATAAATTGATATATTGACACTTATCTAAAATTTTATTGTAGGTCACATGTTAATATACAATTTTTATTATGCATAATTGTAGATGGCTCCATATAATTTGATAATAAAAAAAAATCAGAATGATACGGTTTTATTGAAAATAAAAAATAAAAAATGAGAATAAAAAGATTCATTAAAGTTGTTTTAGCACATTAATTATTATTGAGAAAAATGCTACAAGTACATAATAAATGTACATAGAGATGTTGTTGACCATCACAACTCAGACTGCCATGGAGATATTCTGGACAGCCATGCAGGACCTCATGCCACGTCAGAACTTCAAGTTGGGGCCATGGCAGGTGCAGGTGGAAGAAAAGACTCTCATGTCCCTCATGGCACGAGAGAAAATAGGAGTTGCATACCAATTAGTTGTGGTGACTCACACAAGAAGACAAGTAGTCTAGCTTATTCTTATCCTATTATATGTGGTTGATATTTATTGTAGCTAGGTTATAGGTCTAGAATATTCTCTGTTAGGTCAAGTATATATATATGCAAAGAGAGCAGCTACAATGTACCTTTTATTGATAAGAAAATCATTCTAGTATTCGGTGCAAATGATTGAGAAATTTAATTTCTTGTTCTTCATGTTCATAATGAAATCGATCCCTAAATTCCTTCATGGTATCAGAGCTTCAAGTTAATCATGAAGTCTATGATCAACTCTCTTCCCTTTTATCTTATCTTTTTCTTATTCTCTTCTCAAAATGGCCACAGAACAGCCCACCATAGTTCAACTGCAATCACAAGTCATCACTGTCAAACTAACAGAGAACAAGTATCTAGTCTGGAGACAACAAGTCCTAGCTGCCATCAAAGGATATGGTTTGGATCAGTTTATCACTACAGGAAGACTTCCTGCTTCTACCATCGTTGATGAAGATGGTAATGAAACTCTTAACCCTGCTTTTACTATGTGGAATAGACAAGATCAGATTGTATCCTGGCTTTTATCATCACTGTCTGAGAGCATTCTTATTACCATTGTTGGGCTTGATTTATCTTTTGAGATCTGGGATAATTTGGAGACTGCCTTTGCTAGCCAATCAAGAGCTAAGATTATGCAGTATAAACTACAGCTCCAAACACTTAAAAAGAGGAATTATGTCTATGATTGAGTATCTTAACAAGGTGAAAGTCTGTTGTGATAGTTTAGCTGTAGCTGGACAGAGAATTTCTGAGGATGAGTTAGCTGGCCTTGGAAGTGAGTATAACCATGTGATGATTTCAGTAGGTGTAAGACTTGAACCTTACAGATTAAGAGAGCTTCATGCTCTCTTGCTGAGATTTGAGAGCAGGCTAGAGACCTTTGAAAACCCTCATTTTGGTTTTGAAGGGTTCAATCCAAATGCCAATTATTCAGCTGTTGGGAACTCTTCCAAGAGAGGTGGCTATGCAAATAGAGGAAGAGGAAACTATAATTTTAGTGGGAGCAGAGGTGGAAGATCAAATGGTAGAGGCAATGGACCTTTTAGAGGAAGAGGTGGAAGATCAGAAGGTAGAATCAGGTGCCAAATTTGCCACTTGCACAACCATACTGCTAAGAAATGCTGGTATAGAAATGATTTGAATTTTGTTCCAAACAACCAAAGGAATGGAAATTCTGGCTTTCAATGCTATGGAAATGAACAAGGAGGAACCATGGCAAATGTGGCAAGTGTGGAGAACAATGAAGATGGCTCACATGCTTACTGGTACCCAGACTCTGGGGCTACCAATCACATAACTCATGATCTCAATAACCTCAGTATGGCCTCAGATTTTGCTGGAAGTGAGAGAGTCCTTATGGGGAATGGAGCTGGTTTGGACATCACACATCTTGGTAATGCATTGATGAAAGGATCTTCTTCTAATAATCACACCTTTCTTCTTAAGAATTTATTGCATGTTCCAAATATAACAAAGAACCTTTTGAGTGTCTTACAGTTTTCTCATGATAAGTCAGTATTTTTTGAATTCCATCCCCGATATTGTCTTGTGAAGGATCAGGGAACAAGAACAACATTTCTGAGATGGGAGCTTAAATGAGGATTATACTATTTCAAATAAGCTTGCAACAAGAATCATGCAGTTGAAGGAAGAACCACAGTCAAAGCAGCTCAAGATAGAAGACCAATAGTTTCTTATTCTAGTGTTGTTTCTTAGGATTCATTTTTAAATTTATGGCATAGTAGACTTGGCCATGCAGCCAGTGATGTAATCAAGAGAGTTTTGGTTAACTTAGAGCCACCTCTTGCATTTAATAAAGAACTTGAACCTTGTGTTGTCTGCTTGTAATCAAAGAGTCATAGACTCCCTTTTAATGATTCTGTTACTTCTTATACTGTTTCTTTTCAATTGGTCTACACAGATCTTTGGGGTCCTTCATCTATTAAGTCCCAAGGTGGTTTTAGTTACTACATGAGCTTGGTTGACCATTTTACTAGATTCACATGGATTTATATTTTGAAAGCCAAGACAGATGTTTCTGCAGTGTTTTACATTTCAAAAAGTTAATTGAAAACCAGTTTAATGCTGCCATCAAGACTATCCAAAGTGATGGAGGAACATAATTCAAACCTCTATGCAAATTCTTTGCTGAAAATAGAATTATCCACATGATATCATGCCCTTATACTCCACAGTAGAATGGCTTAGTGGAGAGAAAGCATAGACACATAGTTGAAACAGGTTTGGCTTTGATGCCCAATGCAGGTATGCATTTGAAGTTATGGGATGAAGCTTTTACCTCAGTTGTTCGCTTAATTAACAGACAACCTACTAAGGACTTGAGTTACAAATCACCTTTTGAGAGCCTACTTGGGCAGAAACCAAACTATCATATTCTTAAAGTATTTGGGTGCTTACGCTTTCCTTATTTAAGGCCCATAAACAAACATAAACTTGAAGCAAGGAGCTTGCCAAACACTTTCATTGGGTATAGCCCACAACACAAGGGCTACAAGGTGTTGTTGCCAAACAGAAGAATAATTGTAACCAGACACATTGTGTTCAATGAGAAGAGGTTTCCTTTTTTTGGATCAAGCTTTCTCTGAAGGCAAAACACCTGAAGATATTCAGATCCTTTATCCTTCTCTTCTAAAAATTCAAGCAGACATTACATCAAGATTTACAAACAATAAATCCCCAAGTCAGCACAGTCATGATCAACACTCTACTCAGAAAGTTCATGTGACTTATAATATGTCTCCTAATCCATCTTTGCAAAGCCCTTCTTCTGCAGATAACTCAAATTTTCATTCATCAACTATTCAGGTTGGAAGGATAACAATTGATCTCCCTATTGAAAACATGAGCGGATCCAACACAAGCACTGATCAAGATCAGGAAACACAAAATACCAATGAAACAGTAGGCATTCATCCCATGATCCCCAGAGGCAAGGCTGGGATCAGAAAGCCCAAAATTTTCACTGCTAGCACTTGTGTCATCTGAGAACCCATAAGTTTTGTTGAAGCTCAAAAATCCAAAGAGTGGGTTCAAGTCATGGACAAAGAATACAATGCTCTCATCTCCAAGAAAACATGGAGCCTCACAACCTTACCTGAAGGAAGAAACATAGTTGGGTGCAAGTGGGTGTATAAATTAAAGAGGAATGCTCTTGGTGAAATTGTGTGACATAAGGCTCGATTAGTTGCAAGAGGATTCACACAAATTCCAGGACTAGACTATGGAGACACATTCAGTCCTATTGTAAGGCCAACTACCATCAGATTACTTATTTCCATTGCCATTGATCATTCATGGACATTATGCCTTCCTCAATGGAGAACTTGATGTTGATATCTATATGAATCAGCCACAGGGGTTTGAGAAGGTCTCTGAATCAGGAACTCCACTTGTTTGCATACTTAATAAGGCGATGAAGACGAGACCGGTTCGGATTCGAGGCCGAATCCTCCTCAACCGGGGGAGGATGATGAAGACGAGACCGCGATCGCGTATTTGAATAAATACGACCGACTCTGGGTTTAGTTTATTTATTTCCTATTATTATTAGTACTCTTTTAGTTTTATTTCCTTTATTTGCTTTATTAAGTATGGTAGGAAAATAAAAGACTTGCAGTGTTTTGGCAAGTGTAGGATTCTTATTTTTATTTCCCTTTAGTATTTATGCTGTGGAGAACGATGAATTCAACAGATTATTGAATGAATTAAAATTTCTGTTCGTTTGTTCTTGAGAGAGTATCTCATATTCCCAATTGTACTACGCTCTACATCATAAGGCCATCTATGGATTGAAACAAGCCTAAAAAGCTTGGAATCTTAAACTCACTGCAGCTCTCAAGACTATGGACTTTATTGACTCAAAGTCAGATTCTTCATTGTTCTTCAAGGTTAACACTCACTTTTATTCTATTGTATGTAGATGATACTCATCATCACAGGATCCAATGAAGCTGAGGTTCAATACACTATTTCAGAGTTTCAAAAGTTGTTTTCTATCAAAGACTTGGGAAAGCTGACACATTTCTTGGGTATAGAAGTCTCCTACAATGATCAAGGACTTATTTCAAGTCAAGGTCAATACATCACTAACATTTTATCTAGCCTTCAAATGATACGAGCTAAAGGAGTGAGTTCACCAATGATATCTCATCTCTTGTTGTCCAACATGATGGACAACCTTTTGATAATACCACCTTGTTCAGAAGTGTTGTGGGTGTTCTCCAATACACAACAATTAGTAGACCAAAAATATCATACAGTGTGAATAAAATCAGTCAATACATGCATGCTACTCACTAGAAGGCATTGAAGAGAATCTTGAGGTATCTTGCTGGTACAATTAATTATGGACTGCATTTCAAGAATGGTCCTCTACACCTCATTGGGTTTGCTGATGCAGATTGGGCATATGACCTTGATGACCGCAAATCTACCAGTGGTAATTGTGTTATTCTTGGTCCCAACCTTATCACATGGTGTGCCAAGAAACAAACAACTGTATCTAGATCTAGCACTGAAGCTGAACTTCGAAGCTTGGCCACATCTACTTGTGATGTCATTTGGCTAAGGGGATACTGACATAACTTGGTTTTCCTCTACATAAACCTACTACAATTTGGGTGGATGATCTAGGAGCCTGTCACTTGTCAGAAAATCCAGTCTTTCATTCTAACACAAAACATGTAGGGATTGATTTCCACTTTGTCAGAGAGCATATGAATTGTCACACAATCACAGTCCACCATATCCCCTCTATTGAACATAGCTGACATTTTCACCAAGCCTTTATTTGGACAATTCTTTGCTTGTCTTCACTGCAAATTAGGAATATGTCTCAAACCCGAGCATGAATTGAGGGGGTTGACCATCATGCCACGTCAGAACTTCAAGCTGGGACCATGGCAGGTGCAGGTGGAAGAAAAGACTCATGTCCCTCATATTGTTGTACATAATGGCGCAAGAGAAAGTAAGAGTTGCATACCAATTAGTTGTGGTGACTCACACAAGAAGACAAATAGTCTAGCTTATAATGTGATTGATATTTATTGTAGCTAGGTTATGGGTCTAGAATATTCTCTATTAGCTCAAGTATATATATGAGCAAAGAGAGCATCCGCAATGTACCTTTTAATGATAAAATAATCATTCTAGTATTCACTGCAAATGATTGAGAAATTTAATTTCTTGTTCTTCATGTTCATAATGAAATCGATCCCTAAATTCCTTCAGATGTACATAACATTAACCTGGAGTGGGGTCCACTTGATTTTTTATTTTTGGTAAGGCCCATTTAATGTGAGTGTTATGTACACCTCTATGTACAATAATATGTACCTATAGCATTTCTCATATTATTGTGTGATAACAACATGGATTTCAGGCAAAGATACCAAGTACTTCAAAAAGAACTTCATCAATGACAAATCTGTATGCACATCACATGCTCCAAAAGTAAATTCAGGGCACAAGTTTTCACTGGAAACGCTACTTAAAGAGTCTCAAGGAATTGAGCGAAGCTCGGATATTTCGGCTCCCAACCAAGTTCTGCACGGGTTTTCGAGTTGTTCAATTTCTTACCTAAAAGGTCTGAAGTTCCTGCAGAAAAATTTAACAAACATCAACAAGTGATCAAACAAACAATAACAAAAATCTAAGATGCAAAGCTTACCTGTAAAAGCCTCAAACTTCTTACTATATTTTCCACTCTTATTAACCAAGTCCATCAATTCCTGTCTGAAAAACGTATGACATGGCTAATTAGAAGCAATTTCTACATTGTCTCAATCCTACTATATTCAATTGCTGCTTATTGAGTTTAAACCATGGAACCTGGATACAGGGTGGTTATCACATCCTAGGAAGATCCTACTGCGGAGATTACTTTTTAAGATGGCAATCGAAAGA